AGACATGAAAAATATGTTTAAAATAAAATTAAAGAAAACATATTTAAATCATAATCATTATCAAAGTCTTTTACCAACTAATTGGGGTCGTCTATATGAATCACGGTCTGTCACGGGCCATACTTTTAGGGGCCGTTTGGTTACTTGGAAATATATTCTCTGTGAAATATATTACTGGCATAATACATTATGTGCAAATGGATTATTACTGTTTGGGTAGTATTTAAATATAACCTGGGAAATACATGGCTATTGTTTGGCTATGTTTGGAAGAAATATGAGAAATGTATTATCAACATTTTACCAGCACTTGCCTATAAACTATCATTTTTTTTTTTCCTTTTTTTTATCACAAAATTCTATTAAAATGTAGAATTAAAGTCATCATCACATCATTCCAAAAAGATTTTCTAATAAGAACATCATCACCATTTCAAAAAGATTTTATAATAATAACTTGTACCATTCTAAAGTCATCATCACACAATTTCTTACTTATTTTGTATGCCTTTGTTACTTACATGGAATCACATGAATCACATGTCTTCTAACATGATTAGACTTTGGTTTCAACATGATCAGTCATTAGAATAATATGATTGGAATAACATGTTTTTATTGTTATAAGCCTTATGTTTATTTATTTTTTTATAGAAGTTTTTCAAATGTCTATCTATATAATTTCAAATAAGCAATAAATTTATAATACGAAATTAAAAATCTTTATGGTACAAGTTAAAGAATGGGAAGAATTAATAAACTAGAAGGTTTGGTAATTGCAATAGAAAATTTTGAGATATTGGAAGAAACTAAAGGGTATCTTATTTTAATTGAGCTTTTACTAATATCTTATAAGGATTATGTTGGGTGAAATTTTTTATTATAATTGTGTTGTGTAATTTCTTATGCTGGGTGAAATTTTTTATTATAATTGTGATGTGTAATTTATCATTGATTAGATATTCTAAGGAGAATAGATATGCCAAGGAGAGAGGGAGAGTAAGCTTAAAAATAAAAAAAAATATAAAAAGGAAAAAGTCGAGATGAGAGGAAGGGGCTTAAAGATAAAGGGGGTTTTAAAAAAAAAAAAATACAGATGAGAAGAAGGGGCTTAAAGAGGGACGGAGCCAAACCAGTTATTAGAGTTAAAGAGAGAGTGGACAGGCTTTGAGAGGGAGGTTTGAGAGGGAGGGAGCACCTATGCAAACCAAGTAGGCGGGTTGACATTTTATTAAGCTGGGATAGGGGCGGGTTGGCATTTTATTAAGCTCGGATAGGCAGAAGAGAGACACACGAGATGATAGGATAGGGGCGGGTTGGCATTTTATTAAGCTGGGATAGGAAAGAGAGACGCACAAGAGGATGAGCTTTAAGAAGGAAGGAGCACCTATGCAAACCAAGTAGGCGGGTTGGCATTTTATTCACACGGCGAAAAATTTCTAAAGATTACCTGTCGAGCACTATTTTTCACATTTCACCGCGGGTAATGTAATGTGTTTCATGATTTTTGAGAAAATCTCGGGTAATCTCTTTCTATTTCCTTATTACAAAGGGTACCCAACCGTCATATTTCCTCGTAATTGATTCACATGTAATAGATTTCCAGGTATCCAAACGGCACCAATCCAGGTATCCAAACTTCCCTTTAGGGAAGTTATAAGCCCATATATCCTTTCTCATTATTTTCAATTATATCCTTTGGGGCGACCTTTGCCCTTTCGTAGCTTTCTACTTGAATTAACTCACACTTTTTAATAGGTGTTGTATTGGTTGCACATGGCCAGTCCATTGAGGTCTTCCTCTCATTTTATTGTCTATTGGTGCCACACTTAAATTCTCTTGAATGTTTTCATTTTGAATTCTATTCCTTCTTATCTTGCTACTCATCAATCTCAACATCGTCGTCTCAACTACATTCATTCTATGGGTATGTTATTTCTTTACTGCCTAACATTCGGCGACATAAAGTAATGATGATCACAACTGTCCTATAAAACTTACCCTTGAGCTTTATTGGTATGTAGCTATCATACAAAACTCCAGTTGTACATTTCCACTTCATTCGTCAACTCTAATTCGATGTGTGACATCTTCTTTAGTCTCTCTATTTTTTTAGATTATCGACTCAACATATCAAAAGTGCGCTCTTTTTGGTGTTTTTTAATCGTCGATTTTAACTATTTTTTCAATTGTACTCCTATTATTATGAAACCTACATTTCATATATTGTCTTAATCCAACTAATTTTAAAACGTTTAGATTCTAGGTAATCCTTTCAAAGTTATAACTTTGTGTTGATGTTGTTTCTAGTCTCATCGATAAAAACTATGTTATCCGCAAACAATATGCCCCACATTATGCCATATTGTAAGAGAAAATACATCTAAATGAGGGTAAAAAAAGTAATGAAAAAATGGATTTTTAAAAATCAACCTACAATTAGGGGTATTTTAGAAATAAATACAAAGAGAAGGGAAAATGTAAAAGCATTCATGGCAAAAAAAGAAAATAAAAAAACCTTCCAATCTTTGCCAAAATGATAGTAAAGGTAAAACCATAAATTACTACGTATTGTTTTTTTGAATTTTTTATATTTCGTCTTAATTTTTTGTAAGACCCTGAGCTTGATGGTCAAGCTCAGGATGTAACCAGGTTGACTAGCTAGGTAGTAGAAAAAATGCCCAACTAGGAAGCCTACTTAGGCAGGTCATGTAGGGAGTCTAAAGCTTGGCGGTTAGACCCCCCAAATGGGCTAAAACTTGGCTCGCCTAATGAGCGAGTCCAGGTAACTTGGCCGGGTCAGCCGGGTCTGGTTTGACCAAGCGGTCTTTCCTACACTAGTCCCAATAGATAGAGAGAATCTAGACTCCAACAGATAAATAGAAAGAATATAGGATTGAAAGGCCACTAGAGAGCCCAAGAGAGAGAGGGGGAGGCTATGGAAAACTAGATCTGGAAGGTTACTAGGGGCTGAGAACCCAGCACACGATCTGGATGTTAAGGGCCATTAGAGGGGCCCAACAAGGAGAGGGCTGGGAGCCCAACATACACACACATAATCTAGATTTTAAGGGCCACTAGAGGGCCCAACAAGGAGGGAGAGAGAGAGAGGGCAATTGAGGACCAAGGCTCCAACACAGAAGCTAGATTTGAAAGGCCATTAGAGGACCGAGAGAGAGAGAAGCCGCTAGTGGGCCAACGCCCCTAGAGAGAGAATTCTAGATTTGAAAGGCCTTTAGAGGGCCCAATAGAGTTAATCTAGATTTGAAAGGCCATTAGAGGGCCTAATAGGAGAGAGAGAGAGAGAGAGAGAGAGAGAGAGAGATAAGAAGAATGTAGATTTTCAGGGCCATTAGAGGAACAGTAGAAAGTGGCATTTGTCTGTTGCCTGCGGACGAAAACAATGGTGTGCCCCCACTTCCCCACAGTGGCCGCAAACGTCTCCCCTCTCTCTCCTTCCATTCTTGGAAACCTTTTAAAAACCCTGCCTCTCTTTTAGACTTCTAAAATCTGCATGGCCCCCTTGTTAGATCAACAAGTGAAGTGACCCAACAAAGCCCCTTCAACCACCAAACCCCACATGAAAGCCCCATAAAACAATAAATGGAATTGATAGATAACTCACTCCTTCTCATCTTCATTTACTGTGAAATATTGCAAAGAGCCTTGTGAAACTTTTAAGGTTTCTCTCTCTCCCATTTCATGTTATGTTGGTTGGTAGAATAGTGTTATAATGCGGGAGAAAGTTTTTGAGTTTGTGACAAATCACAAGACACTCAATCACATCCATTCCTGAACCACACAAAAAACAGAAAAAGGAAAAAGTATGACATACACGAATGATAACGAAGTGTCATAAAATAAGTCTGAAGATTCAAGGATGGAATGAGAGAGATGAATAGAGAAATAGATTAACTTTATTCTAAAGGGGGAATTTACTGTTTGGTCAGGTTTTCAAAAAAGATGCATCCAATTTTTTACAAATTTCTCTTTTTAAAATAGAAGAGGCTTTGTTAAAACAAAATAAAGCCTCACCTGAAATCCTAAATCCGAAAAGCAATTTCGGCAACAGAAATCTCTATGTTGACTTTAATGCCGATTTCCAATACCGACAATGAAATTCGAAATTCAAAAAATATCATAGATCTTTTGGATCTATGAATACTTACTTTTACGGCAAAATAAATAGTCTGGATAATTTTTTACAATATACCCTATTTTTAAGAATATCCACACTTAACCAAGTAGACCATTCATACATTTTTTTTTAGGTGTTTTGGTTAATTTATATTTAATTATTTTTAATGTGCACTTAGATATGGTGCACACAATAGTACAATTTCATGTAAATCCGATGTGTATAAACAATTCAAATTGAAATCTAAAATACAATCATAATTTCTATTTCTTCCCTTGTGGTGACTTCCCCGGTGGTGAACTGTTGAAAGGTGCTCGTGCGAGCACCTTTAAGTACATACATTGTGAGGATGCTATGCCATCCTTGTCAATTTTTCTTTAGTTGAACGATTCAACAAATGGTGTCTCAGACAATTTATGCTTCTAAACAATCAGATTAAGGAACACCTTAGAGGTGAACCTTACCACCGTTGCAACTTTATAAATTTTTTCCTTCATTTTAGGGATATGAGGGCCCTAAACAATCAGATTCAGGCGCACCTTGAAATTTCATAAGAAGTCGTTTTGATGTTCAAAAACCTCTAATTGCATCTTGTAATGTATTAATTATCCAACCATCAATTTTCAAGTGTTATAGATCTGTTTGATCTACATTATTTTTTAATATTTAAATTTTATAATTAAAGATGAAAATAAACTTACTTTCAGGTTGCGTTAAAGGTTTATGATATTAAACCAACATATTTCGGGACTATTTAAAGGTGCGCCTTTCTTTGAACCTAAGCCTCATACAATCCTGACCTTTTCATTTATGATCTGTGAAAATTACCAACTTAAACACGGTAAAATTCTGGTAAATTAAGTTAATATAATGAACAGTCGATGAGTTTTCTCATTGCTTTTCCTCCAATAAAAATTATTCATTTAGACCGGGTAGTCTCTTTACATGGAACAAAGAAAGGCATCTCTCTCTAGTGGCTGGCTCACACAATCTGTGGTCTCCCTCTATCTAACATCACGTAGCCCCAACTCCAAGGAAATCGATGAAAGGGAGAGAGACTGTGCTTTCAAAATGGTGGCTGCTCTTCTCTGGACTTTCTGAGGCTTGTAGAGAGTAATAAACAGGAGCAGTTTGTTCTTGATGATGATGATGATGCATCATCATCATGGCCATGAGAGATGGATGATGATGGTCATGTTGATGAGAGATAAAAGCAGTAGAGAGAGAATTAGTCATGGCTTCATCATCATCATCATCATGCTCACGGTTATGGTTCCACCTCTTTCCACCGTTGCTGAAGAAGCTATTCTTCGCTTTCTTGATACCTGTAAACGACGAGATTGTATACAGAAATCAAATATTAAACGTTAAGAGAGAGAACGTATAGACTTAGGAGAGAGATAAGGAAACGCTTAGGAGAGAGAGAGAGATCATAAATGAATCAAATGCTGAAAGCTAGAGAGAGAGCCTAATGGACAAAACTAAAATGCTGGATAGGATGTGAGAAGAGAGAACATTTCTAGAGAGAGAGAACACAGACCAGAGAGGAGATCAACTGGTGGCCTGCAACTAGACCTTGAATCCCCTCTCCCACTGGTTACAGACGGGCTCGGAGGAGAGAGAAAGGAAGTTGGGTTGGAGAGAGAAACAACTCCGCCCCCTTCCAGCCTCCTCTGCACACCAGCCTGCGTCAGCTTCCTCCTCCTGTATGCACTCGATTGTTCTCTGTATTTCCTCGCCATTATCACATGCCAATGGTTCTTCACTGCATTATCAGTTCTCCCTGGAAAAAGCCTAGCAATCATGGCCCATTTATTGCCATACAATCTATGAGCTGCCATTAATCTCTCCTCCTCTTCTTCACTAAAAGCTCTACGATTTATCCTTGGATCCAACTGATTAAACCATCTCAACCTACAGCTTTTCCCTGCAAAAAAAGGGAGGGAGAAAACCAAAGTACAAAAACCATTAAAACACACCCCTTTATCTCACTAGATCTCCCCTGTTTCTCTCTCTAGAATCTCTCCCTCTCACTAAAGAGAATGGCTGAAAACTGAAATGTGGGTTTCTTTTACCTGATCTCCCTTCTAGCTTCTCAGCGATCAAATTCCAGTTTTGCGGGCCATAAAGGGCCACGAGCTCCTTGAGCTTGGCGTCCTCAGCTGGCCTCCAATGGCCTCTGGCACAGAGCTTCGATTGCCCGGAGTCGGGTTCTTTGAGAACCAGGTTCTCACTCATGGTTTCATCAATTGGGTTATGGTTGCTGCCCTCATCAATGGCGTTGAGGCCTCTCTCGCTCTTGCTGTAACTCTCATTTGATGAAGAACCAGAGCACCCGAAGCCATGGCTCAGAGAGATGCGGGTTTCGTAGAGAGAGAGAGAGGAGGACGAGGAGGAAGCTTTATCAGAGAAGAGCCCCATGGATTGAGATTGAGAGTGAAGCCTAAGGTTAAGGGAATCATTAATATACTTGGTTGTCATGCCTTCGTTTTCTTGGTGACAAATGGTGTTCGGGAACTGTTGCAGGGTCATCTTCATAGCCTGTGAGAGCTATTTTCAGAGAGAGAAAGAGAGAGGGAGATTGATGGGGATATGGAAAGAAGAGGAAGCTGAGAGGTTACAGTACATGGGGAGGGGGGATGGAAACTTGAAACTCGAAAGAGCAAAAGAATTTTGCAGAAACCCACACGGCTCCTACTCTGAGCTTTTCTCTCACTACCCTGACTGATCCTGACCTCAATGGCCTTGGCCTGGGTGGGCTTTTCAAGCCCCTCCTTCTCTCTCTAAAAATTATAAAACCTCTCTCTCTCTATCTCTATCTCTATCTCTTTGAAGGCACACACGAGTGGGTGTCTCCTCACCACCCATGAGAGACTCTTCTTAAATCCATTTCTCTCTCATCTCCTGTCCCTCTCCCTCTCCCTCTCCCTCTTGACAAAAAACCATACTGTTGTGTCTGCTTACATAGCCTTCCACACTGTACACGTTTCTTTTCGAGTAACCCACAATAATAAGCTTTGACGCAACCCCACCTGTCAAAAACCATCAGCTTTTTCATTTAACCCACCCCCCACCACCCCCCCCTTTCTCTCTCTCTCTAAGTTAGAGAGAGAAACAGAGGGAGAGTCCTCCTAAATGATAATTAACAGTAGGTTAATTCAGACACATTTGAGACGTTTTCAACTTTTGACAAGAGAGAAAAACGAGAAATACATGAACAAGGAAAAGTTCCCTTGACTAAGCAATGAAACCCCACAACGTTAAACCCCCTCTCTCTCTCTCTCTCTCCTCTGTCCCTCCAATGAAATCCTTCTGAACCCACGTTAACTCAAAGTCAGAATTTTCTCTATCCCATTGGAGAATTCCCACCACACCACGCTGCCACTTTCCGGTTCTCTTTCTAAAATTTCATTTTCTCTCTCCACATACAAAAACCCAATTCCCTAAAAATCTCGTAACCAGATTAGTTCGCTGTCTAGTATAGTTACTACCGAAGGAGTCTAATTTTTTTTTTTTGGGGCATGATATGAAAGATGATAAAGGGGCCTAGGGCCCTGAATTTTAAAGAGGGAGTTTTAGAGAGAGAGACACCCTGAACTAGATTTTAGGGAGACAGGAAGGAGGTATTAGAGAGAGATAATGTACTCTCCAGTAAAGGAACATACTGTGTTTTGGGTTCCCAATATCCCCAAAATGTAAAAGCTGAATTTAATGCCATTTTCTCACTCCTGAAAGACCAGTGTAAGACGCCTAATTTAATGGCGTGAATAATTGAATTCAGGAGGATGTGGTGTTTGTACTGTGAATGTGTGTTTTCTCTTTTTCAGTCAAAAGTATGCATTTAGAGAGAGAGAGGGAGAGAGACCAACAAGTGAAACCATGTCAATTGGAAATACTAAAATCACTCGGCCCTTTCAGTTGGCACCCCCCCCACCACCCCTCCTCCTCTTTCTCTCTCTCTCTAAAGCTATCCTTATGTAGAGAGAGAGAGGGGAAAAGAAAAGGTCTCTCTCTCAGGTTGGGTTTTAATCTTGCCTTTCTAGTTAAGAAAAAAGTTTATATAAAGTTGACACCTTAAAATGTAGAAATAAGGTGTACTTCTAAAATCCTTGGAAAAAGGTTGGTTTGATGTTGAAAAAATATCTAATTCACCATTTATAGTTATAGACAAAAAAAACAGATATCAAGTTTGAAAAGTAGTACATTATCTATGGGTGCGGTTTGTATAGAGCCTAGGTTCTAAACGATCAAATTAGCGCCTACTTTCAAATAGTGCCGAGAAATATGGTTTTATTACTGGAAAGTTTTGTGATAGCTTTAAATTATATTTTTATATTTAGTTATAAAATTTAAAGCTTCAAAAAGATTGTAGATCGAACAATTTATGAAAACTTGAAAATCTTGAAAATTGAATTTCTAAAAGATGCATTATTTCTAAAACTTGCAATCCATTTTTTTCTCATGTCCATACATCTTGATGTTGAGATGATCAATTTGATGATATTTGGGCATCGAAACAACCTCTTCTACTTAAAGTTTTGAGGTAAACTCTAATTTGATTGTTTAGAACCTAGGCTCTATATAAACTTTTCCCTTTATCTATAGACGGTTTATTTTCTTGTCATGCGTTATAGATATGTTTGATTTGCACTATGTTTTTTAATTTAAATATTTTATAATTAGAGATCCAAGTAATGTTTGAATTTTCGATATAAAAATTACAAAAGTTTGGAGGTGTTTCAGGTTACAACCTTAAACCATATCCATTAAGTTAATCACTCTCTCTTTCTCTCTCTTCTAAAAAGATCTCTCTCCCATGTAAATGTTTAATATCTTCCTTGAGAGATGGCTTAACAAACATTGAGGCTTCAGTTTAGAGCTATGATTTTATGGAAGGGTTGTATCATAATATAAGGCAACCACATTAAAAAATCATGTTAGAGATATTTGTTTGAATCAATTTTTTAGATGTATACTCTTTTTATTCTAAAGAATACTTACAAAAAACAAAATTTAGAAAAAACGCCCTAAAAGGTGGTTTTTTAGCCCAATTAATATGAGCCCTCCATTTTTTGTAAGAAGATTAGGTATAGGCCACAAAAGGATTTTGTTATTCTCAAAATTTTTAAATAGTGTTATCATCATTAAATTAGAAAGGCTAAAAAAGAAAAAAGTAATTTTGAATTTGGCAAAGCCTAGATCTTGAAATTCACTAAGTGGACGGTCGAGATTTATTGTTGGAGTGTACTAATTCTTACCATATCTAGGGTACAAATTGATTTTTTTTTTTTTTCCCCATAAGATTGATTATGAGGATGAAGAGAATGTGTGTGTAAAATTTAGAGTCATACAAATGCCAAAAACATGATTTTTTAGAATTGTAGTGGCATTATACTATGATATAACCTTGCTTTTCAGTTTGTTAGTCTTTAGACGGTTAGTGGTTACACAATTGTTTACGATATTGCATTTGTCAACTACAAAAAAAAAAAAAAAAAATTACAGAGGGAAAGTAGGATTCCTCCACAATAATAATAATACTATTCAAATATTTCTTCTCTAAGTTGGTAGCAGTTTCTAGAGGACCTTGAGAAAGTTAGACCAGCAGCCCCATACCTCAAAACAATCTCTCTCTCTCTCAGCTCAAAATAAAGTGTTTATTTCCCTTGCGCTGGACCTTACTGTCTCTACCGTGCTGCTTATTCTCTCTCTCTCTCATGTTGGGTTTATTCCTCATGATCTTTCTCTCTCTGGGATTTATGGTTTGATATATCATCCTTAAAAGCTTTGTTAGTGTCGGGCTGCATTGATATGTTGGTCTGGAATCTAGACATTGAGATCTGTAGACCATCACTTCATGTTCATTGACCCAAACATCACGAAATTTAACCTAAACTTTTGCGCTACATAACTTCCTCGTTGCTTACATTTTTCTCACTCTACATTTTGGGAATCTTCCATGCAATATACACTTCCTCTCACCCATATACCCCTTACAAATAACTTAAAAATTCACATCAAATATAGGGTCTTGGCATATTCTTTAGAAAAGAATTTGTTTTTGAAATTAATAGCACCACAACTCGTCCTACCCTTCGTTCCCACGGTTAACATATCAACAGACAAAAAAGAAAAAAAAAAAAAAAAGGTACTATAGGGCAAACGTTTGACAATAGGGATTTGAGAAATCCTTAGGATTGGAACGTATGGATCTTAGGCGTCCTAGTCTTTTGGAGATCTCGGGTTGAAAAACAATGTTTGACAATGGGGATTTGAGAAACCTCCGGGATCATGAACGTCTAGATCTTTGGATTGTAGTCTTCTGGAGAGGCAGCCATTCGATGTACGGTCATTGGGTAGACGTGGGTGGCTATTCAGTAAAAGATATGGTTATTTGTAGAACGAATGGTTTTTATTTTTTGGGTAATTCAATAGCAACACAATTCCCTACCCATTTTTTTATATAGATTAGGGGGTAAGTTTTTTCTTTTTTTATGTTTATGGGTAGTGTATTAGAAACCACAATGCAGCAACTAGGTACGTGGTGCTACCACTAAGACTCCCCCTTTTTTTTAGCATAATGGATGGTAAATCGGCAACTATTGTTATTCGACTTTGACATGACATGTACCCAATGCCCATTGAAACTGGAAGATAGGGTATTGCGCCTTTAAGTTTCGTTCCTACCGCTTAAAAATAAAAGAGTGATAGAGAGAGAAGGACCTTCAACCCTTAATTTACTTTAAAATTAGAAATGGAGGTTAACTCAAAACTAACCCCAAAATAACAACTAAAGCTCTAAGTCCAATCTTAATTAGTCCAATAATTTTGTCCTGAAATTTCGTTGAAAGAGTGAATGCAAACCTAGTAGTCAACCTCGTCACAAGATGGGCCCAATCCTCCGGCAAAATCTTGTAATTTAGCACTCTTTAGAGAGAGAGAGAGAGAGACCGGTGGTCCTCAACTCTCAAAACCACCAAAACAGAGACGTATAGAGAGTGAGAGAGAGAGAGGGCTGGTGGTCCTTAGCTTTCAAAACCACTGTACAAATAGAAGTATAGAGAGATGAGATGACAGATGTAGAGAGAGAGAGAACAAATAGCAATGGAGAGAGAAGTTAGAGATCAGAATTCTAGAGAGAGAGAAAGAGCGCGCATCGCATCGCATCGCATCGCATCGCATCACAAGAATATCTTTGCATTCATCATGCGATCTTGGCTTTGGCCGGATCAAGGCCGGTTGTTACTGTTCACTTCTCACGTGTTCCATCCACGTGGGGCCATGCCGTTTGCAAGTTGTTATAAGTGGGGCCCACTTCCCGCACGTGCAACATCTGCTTACTTATCTCATGCATTTGTCGATGCCCAAAGTTCACAATTCACAATATTGATGAAATGAAAATCATGGTGGGCATTTTACTTTTTTTTTTTCCTTTTTCTTGGTTAATGGATTTGTGGTGGATAAATTTCTTTTAATGAAAAAACAAATTGTCTATTAGTATTTACCTGTTTGGGTAAATTTTAATTTAGTAGTATTTTTAATAACTCAAATTTGAACAGAAACAGTCCCTATTTTTTAACTATTAGATTTAAGTGTTAAAAATTTTTAATTTTAATTTTTTTTTTCTTTTGTATATAATCATCCAGTGACTTTTTTGTGATTCTCAAAATTCTGAACCAAAAAAACTTCTCAAGTTTTACCGGAGGGAGTAAATGTACAATATATTCTCCCACATGAGCATAAATGCATACTTTTAGGAAAACAAGTATAGCCGAGTTTTGTGGGAGCATACCAAATGCTTGCGCCCTCATGCAAAATATTAATTCGAAGGATTTCTTCTCAAATTTTCATTCCCCCTTTTACATTTACCGTATCCGTATTTTTCAAAGAAGAAAAATAAGATTTTGAGATTTTAAACATTGAAATATTGAAATTTGGATAGTCTCCATTCAGTCTTAAGAAGTGTTTTCAATGCAGATACTGAGTGTGAATGATCCTTTCTCTTCTTTCTTTTTTTT